GAGAGAATAAAGAGATTAATTATCAAAAACCCTCAACAATGGAAAAAAATAAGGAAGATAACGTGGAGAGCCAAGGTCCAGCTTGGTATGGCCCTTTTAGACAAGGACAGACTCTAAAGCACTGGGAGAGACTGGCCAGGAAGACTGTTCAAGAAGTGCGAGAGACATATATCAAACACCAACAGAACCTTGCGCTGCTCACGTATCAGTAAGGAAATAAAAGGAATGATGAAACTTTACCTTCCTCCTCCTCTTCCTCCTCAAGGATGTCATCTTCCTCCTCTTCACCATCTGCTGCTTCGTAATCATCATCACCGATCTAGAGGAACAGAATGAATATTTACATTGTCAGAGACCAATCATAGCTTATGCATGCAATTATATTAAGTACTAATCTTTTTCAACATTTCATGTAGTGCACCACCACTAATCACAATTAAACTGACACACAATCTTTTTGTTCTTTCATTTAACAGAACACCTTGCCCAAACTGACAAGACAAGTACAATACATCAAAATCATAACACTTCTTGAAGGTCCTTTCTATACCTAAGAAAATATCTGACTCTACAAATACAAAGATAAAAAAAAGAGAGAAAAAAAAAGGGAAAAAATTCATTTCTAGTAAAGAAACATTTTACTATGAAGAATGGATGAAGGCAAAGGAGGTCAAATCAAACTCAAGACACTTACGGGATTATAATCCTTGTAGAGAGCATCCAGAGGCACGTGTTCTTCCTCCTCGTCTTCGTCTTCTTCCTCTTCTACCTCCTCTTCATCTATCTCCTCTTCCTCCTCACCATCTATGTCTTCATCATCCTGCTCTGCATCTCCTTCTAAAGCATCTACTCCATCTTCCTCTTCTTCCCCTGATCAAGACACATTTTGTTTACAGCATCAATCATCTGTTTATCAATTATCTATCAACATTTATTCATTTATCTATCAATCAATCTCTTATCTATCTATTTATTGATTATCTGTCTATCCATCTATCTATCGATTCTCTATCTATCTATCAGCATCTATCTACATCTATCGACAAATAACTGCATTGTTACTTTTTTTTCTTTTAATCTCCTGAAAAAGATTCACTTGGGAGGTTTGTGATGGCTGCCTGAAGGTAATGTCCTAATAAAATCTTTTCATTTAAATAATCAACAGCAAATTGTGAATCGTCGAATATCTAATCTAATTAAGACAATCTTTTCTTTTTACTTCAGCTGCACTTTTTAACGCAGATCTTGCAAGGGCATCTGCTACTTACCATCTTCTTCATCTTCGCTGTTGTCCTCCTTATCGAAACTGAAGAGAAGAGAAACAAGAAAAATACACTATTACCAGAAACGTCTATCAAACACAAACTATTCCTACACTTGAATGCAACTTGTTCATTACTCTACACAATATTCTTATACTGTTTATTACAACTGCTCACCATATATTTGTTCTAATTCAACTTTCCCTCTGACAAACAAATTATGACCATTATTCTACAAGTTCATAGAAAATCTGGGACATTGTATCAAGCTACAACTCCTCGATACTCTCTTTTTACTAAACCAAGATAATCCGAAAGTTCTAGCATTACCCTTAGGTGTTCAAATCATGCAACCACTTTGTGTCAATATCATCAACAGACCATTGTTGTAAGGAAGAAAATTACCAAAATGCATTTAAATTATTTCAAATTCAAATGCTCTATGTTAAAACAGCAATAAAATTACTTCATTACAACAAAAGAAAATGCAATTAGACTATTTCATTGTATTGGCCTCTATTATCTATTAGACTTTATATAATGGAATAGGTATTCATATTTCTTTTCACCAACAAACCGTGCATTTACATGGGATATGTATACCTTAAAGAATATATACTCCATGTAAAATCCTATCAAATAAATGAAACGCTAAGATGCGAACACTGGCTACAGTACTACATATGTTGAAATTTGTAAGAATGTTGAAAAGGTAAAGAGAAATCAAGAGAAATCTACTTATTTATGGCAGCTTTACTCTTTTCTTTCTTAACACAAGAGATCATAGCTGTCTGAATTTTACTAATCTTTGCCATTTATCATATAGTTAATGATTCATAACATAACCCTTTCTTTTACCAGATAACAGATGAATAATCAGATAAAGTTTACCCTGTTTTCACAAACTACTCTCATAGGTTACGTTTACTTAGAGACAATCTCCATTTTACCTCCATTTTTTTCTTTTACAAGTATTCATTACATTAGAAATCCTAATGAACTGATTTTCAGAAATTAAACTATAAATGATATATACAAATGATATATACAAACTATTTTACCCATGTCAATAACTGTATAGGCACCATTTTATCATTACTTCAAGCTATTTCAGTCATACAAAATATTTTCGAAAATGAACTTTATAATCATTGCAATTATTTTCTGTCTATAGAAATTAATGCTACATCTACAACCCAGGAACCATACAGACTTTTCAAGTGAGAACAAAGACAAAGAAAAATTGGGAATGACAATATATTAATAAAAAATGACAATATATTAATACAACAATACAACTTACCCATCCAGAAACACAAGCGATGGTATCAAACTGAACACCTTTTCTCTGTAGTTCTCAATCTGTGATACTTCACAGTTGAATAGATCCAAATTTACCAGAGATTTTAGGTCCTTCTGTTGAAGCAAATTTTTTTTTTCCAATCAATAGAAATATGTGGTTCAGTAAAATTTTCATCAAATTTATTCATGTAACAATAAACGAGGGAAAAGTACTTACCGCTCAGTCAGCCACCAGATATATAAACCACAATAGTAAGATAGCTTTATAAAAAATCCAAATAGCAATCTAGGCCAAATGGTATATTAAATTTTGAATAACCAGAACATATACACACTAAAAACCCCAAAGGCAGAACTGAGAAAAAACGCACTTTTACACGTCTTCCCCCCTCTTGCATCCCCTTCTAACACACAAATACCGCTCCTGCGTTCTTACCAAGGCCTCAAGAGTTTCCAAGTCTTTTATCTTGTTTCCGGAAAGGTTGAGGTATGACAGTTTGGGGAGGCATGTCAGGGCTGACAAACCACCTGAGATTCGGTTGTCACTGAGCTCCAGCTGAAAAAGAAGTTTGATGTGGTTTACATGTCAAAAGTTCAAGCTTTTAATTTGACTTTCTTGCAGTAAATTGAAGAGTAACATTATCTGGGACATGCAAGTTTGTACTGCTTTGGCAAAGAGAATGTTCAGGACAAGTGAGAGATAAACCTAAGTCTAGAAAATAAAAATAAATAAGATAAAATAAAAAAAAACTTGCTCTGTATTAACAAGATAAATAAAGTAGCAAAATTCCCATCACAAAGAGCGTAAGCATTACATATTCTCTCACTTTTCCTGACCTTTTTGTATCTGTAACAACCACTAATTCTCATTAGTATTAACATAGGAACCAATTTACAGCAGACATTGTTGATATACTAATACCAGTGACACACTTGCACCTGCTAGAAATGTCAATTTGTAAATCACTTTTCTTTTCTTTTCTTGTGTGAATTATAAAAACATCAAACTGCCCTGTAATCCTCAACAGACTATATGCAGCATTCATGAACTCCACATTCCATCCCCCTTGCTAAATGAAATGATGGTATTCATAACCTCATTATTTATGCAAAAGACCTGATAAGCAAAATTTCACCTCGCAAAGCATCATATCTGGTTCTAACATCTCAAAGATTTTATCCATGGAGCAGCATAATAACTCCGTTTGCTCAGATAGAGGCAAATGTGAAGGACTTTGTCCAAGCAGCAGCTTAGTGAGTAAAGTTTTGTTCATAGTTTATCATTATTGTTGGTAGCTCACTCAAAAGAAAAGATCAAAGGGAAAGCTCAGTCCCTCTACACTGCTCAACATACACGGCTACATTCAGAGTAGGAGGGGGGATAAGTAGAGGACACGAAAGGGACTCTTTACACAAGCTCTCAGAAACCAATAGACCTCTGCCACCTTCAGAGTTTCCCCTCTATCTTTGATATGCTGAGGTATATAATTATATGTTCTTGGAGGGTGCATAGTCAACATGTCATATTAGTATATATATTCTCAACACAATTTTTGCCACAAACAAAAAGGACATTCTGATAACCTATAACTTAAGAAATGATAACTATTTTGAACAATATCAGAGGAACTCAAAGAAAAGCAAATGTTTATCTCCAAAACATTCCTAAACATGAAAGCAATAGTTCTAATATACATAAAACTCAATGAAAACATCATATTTTTTACTCGTATTGTCTCACCTTCCGCAGATTGGGAAGGGCTGGGAACCCTTTGAGAGATGTGAGGCCCACATTTATCAGGCTTAACACTTCCAAATTCTCGAACTCCTCAGTCAGCCCTACAATGGAGGTGCTCTTGCAATTGTCCAAGTTTAGCTCTGTGATCTGTAAAAATAAAGTAATAACAGTTATTAACGTATCAGTATTTAGTAGTTCACAAGTATCTCCATATTATCTCCACATTTTCTCTAGATTAACGATACAAAACAAACGCAAGAGAATGCCTTTGAGAGTTTCATCTGTAACCGTTAACCAAGGGACAAACTGCCTAGAACCTCAAGTACAACAGAATTGGTTTAATACATAATTTTAACTTGGGTGGATGGAGTACAACCAATGAAGTAAAAAGAATCTGTTCAATTAGTGCTGTAAGGAATTTCAATGAATGTTTAACCATGAATTGGGAAAATACAATTATTTTCTAGTTTTTCATTCTAACTGCCTTGGTTTTATTTTGCCTTTCTTCATGACGTCTTTCCCTGAAAGAAAAGACATTTTCAAAATGATGCTGAAAACTTTTTTTAAAGTGGGTTTCCCAGTATCAGTTAAAATAAATACAAAGAAATCTAGAATAGATTCCTATGCTGGTAAGTACTTTGAACCCATGATGATCTATATTATCATGCATCAACAAAATGACTTCTCAAAATTCTACATATTCTTAAATCTTATCCGTAAGATGATATGAAAGTTTATAGACAGAATTTTTGCATAATTTATTCTCCTGGCTAGCAAATCAACCCAACACTTACTGACTACATTGTGCTTGAAAGTTTCTTCTGAACTTGTACATTTTAATGATTACACTGTTTAATTGACATTCTCCGGTCAATTCAATTAATATCAGCATGACCTATAAATAACATAATTCTTAGAACTTTCAAGATAAAAAAATACTTTCAGGATTCCTAATTAAATGAGGTTCTCTGACGAGAATGCTACTAACAACCAAATCACACTATATCTCTAAAAATCAATACTCTCACAGACTACGATTAATTGCACAGCTTGATGGAAATTTTATACCAAAACACCTCAACCTAATTCTAACAGATGGATACCCATTTCAGCAGTCTTTTTGGAATAACATCCTGATCTTGCATACAATATGCTCACATATCAACCGCGACACTGTACAGGTGTACAAGAAACAGATGCTTAACTGCGATAAAGAAAATGCAACCTGCCATTCCTATCAACTCCTTAAAACGTTCTTTTCCGCTGGTATTGATTCCTCAGCAAACAATTGATTAAGCGAAAACTGGGCATGAAATTGACGTTTTTTTAAGGGTAATTTGTTCCCAGTAATGTTTTACATTAGTGTGAAACATGAAAATAGATAAAAATATATGCACACCACATCTAAACCTGTAAATATATATGTATATATACCGTATCACTTCCAACACCCAGAAGTAACCACATATAACCACCTGGACCACACCTGTCTTGCTCTAACTTGCCCTTCAGATTATAAAAGCCCACGTGGACCCAGTGACACCTTGACCCCCGTGATCGAGAGCAGCTGGGAGGCTGCATATTGGATGGGCAATGACGAGCCGCGTAAAGACGTGCTCCAAGGCACTTATTCACAGCAGCTGTTGGTACAGGGCCTGTGCTGAGGTAGCGACATCGGTTCACCCATGACCTTAAATTGTGGATCTGCCAGCCCTGTCCCATTCTGGAGCCAGACTACTGGGAACCACTAATATTCTGAACAGATACATGCACACAATCTGGAGAACTTTGCCAAGCTGGAACAGGAGCGTTCTTTGAAAAAATTCTACCATTTTTTCCCTGCACGCTGAGGCGATCTACAACCTGCAACCAGCACACACAGGGGCTCATGCTTCTGCACACTCAAGGCCCCTCGACCCCCGTTCTGAGGCCTGGAAGCCCCAGCAGGCCCTCTGGAGCTGCCCAAAGTACCCAACAGAAGGCTGGGCGTCCGGGGGCAGGGCCAGAGCCTGCAGGAGCGGGCAGGGCACCATGCCCCGAGGCCCTCCCAGGGCGCCGCACGGGGCGTCGAGGCCCACGAGAGGTCGAGGCTGACCTCCCAGCGGCGGCGACCCCGAGGGTATTCTCCAGAGGGGTCGCGACCCCACAGTGCCCCTCGACCCCCTGGCCGGCCGCCCCCTTCCCGCGCCCCCGTGCCCCATCGCATGCCCTGCGTGCCCCGAGCACAGATGTCGGGACGCCACATGCCCATCCCAAGACAGGTGTTGCTCGACCATCCCTTCCCTCTCGGAAAAAAGCTTTGTGACGCAGCGCCCTGCTCCCTCTCCTGGCCGCCCCTCTGCCCCAACAACACTCCTCAAAGGACTCGCTGCGTTTCCTACGTCACCTTGGCGGGGTTCCTCCCCCTTCTCTCGAGCTCTATCCTCTTCTCCATGTCCGCGGGCGAGCGGCTAGAGCGGCGTGGCGTTGGACATAACCCGAACCACAAGTGTTCGCGCGTCGCCCAACCCGCGCCTCGTCCCCCCTGCCCCCCCTCCCCCCCGCCCGCCTGCCCCCGCCCCCTCCCCCGCCCCCGGGCCCCCGCCGCCCCTCCCCCGTCCATCCCAGGGCCTTCCCCTAGCCCGTTCCTCCCTCCCTCCTCCCTCTCCCCCCTCTCCCTCTCCCGGTCACCCTGTCCCACCCCCCGCTCCCTCCCTCCCTCCTCCACACCCTCTCTCTGTCCCTCCCCCTCCCTCCCGAGGCAGCTTTCTCCCCCGCCGCCTGCTCCTTTTCCCCTGCACTCGGCCCCGAAATTCCCCCCTTGCAAGTCTCTACTTTCCTTTCTGCTGATGCGACGGACGATTAATTCGATTTTATCACTCCAGATAAAATGATTTAATGTCTCTCTTTTTCACAAGCAACCCGGCTTTCCTTCCCGATTTGTTGATCTATGGCATAAGTTACAAGCGCGAATTTGTAATAAATTATTACCAAACAGATGTTCCCTCTTGCTTACAATTGCAGTAAATGGATCTCCTAAAACCTTCAATAAAATGCAGTGATTATCTGAACCAGTCACTCCTACGCCAATAACGACTAGCATTTTACATTCCCTCGATCACACGAGCAATATATCAATGCGTAGTTGTTGATTTTTATTGAAAATTCTGTCTATAGGTAGAAATCCGGAATACATTTTAGCCCGCTTGTCACTCAAGC